ATGTATGTGGCATAGTATCTTGATAACAATAATATCCTATATTCCCTGGAAAGAAGCAATAGATGAGCTCAGTAATTACAATTCAATGGGATGATTCATGTAAAGAAATGCAAGTGTGTGTGTGAATGTGTGTGTGTGTGTATAAATGTGTGTATGCATATGCAATTTTTTTTCAAATATTTCAACCTGCTAAAAAGTTTATCACAGCATTTAAATCAGAGAAGCAGGTGGGGTGTCAGAATTTCATGAATTTTTATTTTTGATACCTCAGAAAGACCAAAGCATCCAGGTTTATGGCTTCAGCAAAACTGTGCCAAAATGTGTTCCCACGGTAACTTCTCCTGAAATCAGCCAGTGTAATTTTCCCACACAGCATGGAGAAAACTGAGTCTCTGATAGGCCCAGGTTTCCACAAAGCAAACTACTGTTAAATTGACTTTGCTGCTAAGTTAGACCAAGAAACCTCTGGGATACTCTCTGAAAACAACTTGGTTGAGTAGACTTTTAGATTCTTCAGCAAAAATCTCACCTCCCATAAAGGAGGCACAGATTCCAAGAGACATTTTAAAAAACATATTCTAAGGAGTTACTCTTTCTATGTGTGTGTGTATATGGTGATGGATAAACAGACTGTAAAATATGCACAAACTACTATTTCTCAAGAAAATATTTTCCCAGTTAAAATCAAAGATACATCAGTGAAAACTCAAAAGATAAGGTCTCTAAGCTTTCTATATACATTGAGGTACAAACACATTGTAAACAGTGGCTCTTGCTTTGATAAAAACAAATTGCTAAATCCTTAACAGAAATTTACATTTTAATTTCCAATATCTTAATACCAAATTTAATACATTTAATCCTTAAAAAAATCCTCCCCTTGGGATTAGCAAAATAAAAATTTTGTAAATTTCTAAATAGAAATGGAGGTGTTTTCTATGCAAGAAAACAACCAGGTTTTAAAAAGAAAACAGTATATGAAGTTTTTTTAAAGAAATATTTTATTTAACTTTATTTATTTATTTTTATTTAATATGACCAGAGAGGGAGAAAGCCAGTGAACAGGTGAGTGAGAGAGAGAGAGAGAGAGAGAAAGTGAGAAAGCAAGCCACCAGGTCTGGTACTCAAACCATGGTTAGTCATATGGAAGTCCACCGCCCTTAACCACCATACCATCTGTCAACCCCCCTAGGATATAGTTTTCATCCTGAACACCAGCAAGACATGAGAATTCTTCAACTACTACTTCGTATGATTTCACTCTTTATTCCCGTCTACATGATTGAAGAAAGAAAACAGTTTTATGATGATCCATCTAAAACTACTGATAAATTCCAAGAAATAATTAACTAGAAAGTACATGGACTTTGAAGACAAATTGTTCTGAATCTGAATCCTATCTATTCAATTTTCTATCTACATTATGTTCCTCTAGTTACTTAACCTCCATTTTATTTGGTGTAAAATGGGAAGAAATAACACCTCGGGGAAAAAGATAAAGCATTAGAAAAATTCCATGTAATTTATACATAATGCATTATACAATTTTAAATACATTTTAATATGCAAAATGTTAATAGAATCATATGGTAGGAAGCATGTTTTCATTTGATGAGACCCATCATCTATTTAAAAAATAATCAATTAGATTTGTATGCTTGTGTTTTAAATTTTATGATTTCTTATTTAGATTTAATGATTGTACATCTTTACAGCATATACTACAGTTTTTCTTCCCCCTCCTTGACTCCCTCCCTTCCCCTCACCCCACCTTTTAGTCACAACTTTTTACTTTGAGGATGTTGCAGAATGGCATTCTGTACATACAGTGATTTCTGTTATTTTTCTTCTGAAGAAAGCCTACTCTCAGCTAGTTTACATCGAATGTGTTTAAATCCACCTGAGGTAAATGCAACATGCATAATGGTCTCCCTGACTCAATCTCTATCAATATCAACAATTCACTGTTCAATTTCTAAACAAATAACTTTTTAAAACTGTGCTTATTTTTGCTCTTTAATAGGCAAAGAGGGATATGTTTCTAATAGCAAATGGCTTGGTATTCAGCACCTGCATGGAAAAACCTGAAGTCTTCATTTCACACCTGCTATTCCAAAGGTCAGACTGGTTTACCAAAGGCCATTTAAGGAAGGCAATGTGTAATACATGAGAAGATGGATTATATCTAAAGTCAAATCTATAAAACAGTAAAGAACATCTCTGTGTGTACGTGTTGCTCTGTGTTCTGTGTAAGACAACTTAGTTACTAATGGTCATGTGTTAATATAACATTCCTATCCTGCTTCCATTATAGTGATCATAATTGGTAATTGTGTACTTATGATGTCGAATTTTGTCTGCTGTCTCCCTCCTCTTATAGCCTGTAGGTTCTACATGGACAAAGAAAACAAGTTTTTATTACCAATACATAGAAAATATGTTAAAACATTGCCTAACAGTCAAGACTCAACAAATATTTGCTGACTGACTCCCAAATGAATAAAACCTAAAATCTAAAGGATAAGCTCCCACTTCAGGGAGGATGAGGGTATCCGTTTTTTATCTTCCCTTTATTAGTTATTTTCACTTACAAAGTGATATTCTTATTGGTTTGAATCATACCCACTGTATATTTATTATTCAATTTTTCATCAGATCAAAGAGGTTGAAGGGACCTTGAGATGCTGTTACTGCCTTGAGGTACAGCTCAAAGCATTCAGTAAACATTAGCTTTTTTTTTTTTTTCTTAAAAACTCTAGAGATCTCATGAAATTCAGATCAGAAATAATCTTGCCTAGAGGGTAGAAAGAAGATGACATCTATAAAATATTCTAATATATAAACCCCCAATTACCCCCTTACAAATATTTATTCTGTGTTAGATAGTCAATGATAAATTTACGATTACAGCCTGTCCTATCCTCTCTCTGGGAATGAGGGTTTTGGGTTCAGCATGCTTGCTCAAGGACTGGATGAGCTGGGTAAGATAATGGACAAAGCAGCAGAACTTAAAAGGTTGAGAGAAGAGAATAAGGGAGAGAGAAGGGAGGCGGGCAATGGTATGAAAAGGTCAGTGCGTGGGGGAGGGAAGTTGGAGGGGAAATGAGAAGAAAGTACTGAAGAAGCATGATGAGAGATCTTCAGGAAGAAAGATGAATGAAGAGGATCCTTATATATTGATATCTGGCCACTTGCAAAAAATGAGTAAATATCCAAATTATTTTCAGTTCTTTTGTGACTGTTTAAATATAGGACAGATGTTTCTTTGTGGCATGGCCTGAGAATAATTATAAGGTGATCCAGCTTTGTGTGATTTATAATCTTAAAGTTTTTAAAATGTTACTGTCTAATATGGTAAGCAATAGCCACATGTAGCTAACTAAAATTAAATACATAAAATTTAAAATCAGCACCAAGTCACTTACACTAACGACAGATTAAGTGCTCAATAACCCTATGTGACTAATGTCTTCCATTTTGGCAGTACACACATAGAAAATGGCATTATCACAGAAAATTCTATTGTACAGCACTGTTCTAGAACTTGGAGAGAGAGAAAGCAAGCCTCCAGGTCCGGGATTCAAACTGCAGTCGACTATGTGGGAGTACAACACCCCTAACCAACACTCACCTGCCAGCCTCCTGAAGAATGTTTTTAAAATTATAGCCAAAGTTTCAACAGGTAGGCAAAATTTCAAGAAAATGATGAACATATTTTGCAACATGATTTTTTGTTTGCATCAGAATAATATGATATGGAAGTAAAATGTAGTAATAGTTAAAATATAAAACAAATAGTCAAACAAAAAAAAAAAGGCCTAAAAAGATGAACATAAAGGTCAGTGTGAACTGGAAGCTTCTCAATATTTTTGGGACAGGAAGAAGTACATTGCTCCCAGGCTTAGGCCAATGCTTTGTAAATTATGTCACAAAGAAACAGAACACAGGAAGACACGCTTTAGATTAGAGGTATTGCTAGAGGAACACTGAAAGGAAAAAAGGGCAGTAGTGAACATCTGGATATTTTTAATACTGTTTTAAACAAGGAAGAGGTGTCAGAAAGTTTGGGCAAAGGAGATAGGATGAGAAGCTCCAAGAAATCTCCGAAATAGAACACTCTGATGTTTGTGAACAGGAAGGAAAAAGTTCCCACACAATAAAGTAGCAATGAAAAGACCATTAAGTAAATTTGAATCTGGAGCCACCTCATCTCTCCAAATAACTTAAATAATTCTAATGTGGGTAGGAATATGGAAGCTTCAGGAAAGCAAATAGTCAAGGATCCACCCAAACCAAAGGATGTCATGTCTTAAATGGAGAAGTTACAGAAAATGGTTGAAACATATATATATGAGGTATAAGGACAGCCAAACTCAGAAATCTTCATCATTAAAATGTATCTCCTTCTAGTTAAGAATGACTATAGCTGTAATGACGTATAGTGAATGAATGTAAATAAATAAATTTAAATAAAAAATAAAAATTCAAAATAAAGAATGACTGTATTGTTTAAAATATGATATGTTTAAAAACTGTGAACAAAGTAACTACATAAAAAAACAGTTCGGTTGATGATACTCAGGTTTAGTGGCAGAAGCGTGATCCCTGTGGTGAGATTATTGCATTTCAGCACTGACATTCTGATTCAGAGTACATAATTTAATTTATTGGTGCCTCTCCGCCTTTCGGGAATTCTGAAATAGATCTCGAGTTTTCTCACAAGCGAAATGTTAAAAATGAATGAGAGGTATACCCTTGTTTGAACAGAAGTTTCCACAAAAGAAAGGTACAGAATACAAATAGGATGTTCTATTTTAATTACTAAAGAACACCATCTGAATAATAATGCTAACGGAGTGTTTCTGTATCCTAAGTGCATTACATGTGATGATTCTGTTAATCCTCACAACTACTCCATAAAAGTAGTACTGTAATTATCCCCATATTATAAATGAAGAAATTGTAAGAGTGAAGGCAAGTTTTTATTCCCGTGCCTATACGTTGGTTCTCGAGGATCTTCTTCACAAATAATTTTAACAGTTTGTTCAAAAGACCTAATGAAACATACAGATATTAGCAAAGAGTTAAGCAGCCTATTGGGAAACAATCGAAAATCTAAACAGGTAATAGACACAACCTACACTGAATCTGCTGTATTCAGAAGAATAAAACAGAAGGAGAAATCAGACACTCTTCTCCCTCTTCGGATTTTATTTAACTGATCAGTTGTTGAGAAAACTAGAGAATAAAGAGCCTTCAAATTAGATGGATATCTTCTTTATCCCTCAGTTCTTATTAAAGAGCCTCATGTATTGGATTTAAATAATGCTTAATGCATATGCATAAATATGAGGGGGGAGGGAAGGGAAAAGGAAGGGGAGGGGGCAGAAGGACAGCAAGTAAACTCAAAAACAGCAAAAAGAAAGGACGTAGGCAATGGTGGCAGAGAGGGCAATATGAAAAAGACAGCCCTTCTTCTGGGTCTTGGAGGTTTAACAGGGTTTCAAGAACTGGAAAAAATTAAGGGCTGACTCAAGACTAGTGAAGGGACAAGATGCAGGCTTCTTTTCACTCTCCTGTAACTGCAGTGAACGCCTACTTAGGGCCAGGCCCTATTCCAACACTGGGAAAAAGGGAAGATCCACATGTCTGTCACGTTTAGGTGGTAAACAGGAAGCGAAGCTGGAAGGAGAAGGAAGGGAACCGAAATCTGGATCATCACAAAATACTGACATCCTGATAAGGAGTGTGAGAGAGACACTAGTTTACACTGTCCTGCCAACTTGATGCTAAATGCCTTAAGGAAGGAATCTATATTTAAACCCCTTAATATATTTTTCTACAAAGCTGGTAATGGGCAAAAAAAAAAAAAAAGAAGCATTATGGTTTAATAGAAAAAGTATTGATTTAGAAGACTTGAAATAGAACGGTTTCAATTTCCCTGTCTTGAAAAAAATAATTTGTTAGATCATTTTAAGAAATCTTTCAGATATATGCAAAAAAAACCATGGTTAAATTCATCAATTATTTAGTAACGCTGGTAATAAAGAGTTCTCTATGGCATGATATGTAAGGAAGTGCACCTGGCCTCTTGTCAAGTCAGGCTATTATAAGCCAGGTTCATTCCACCTGCAGCATGGGTCGAAGCACAAAAGTGCATCAGAATCAGATAAATCTACAAACTAGCTGCACACATCATAAATGGACAATGTGGCAGAGGGTTCAGAGAGTGAGATTCATAATTTGTACTATGAGATTCCAACTCCCAGTTTCACATGTTTTGTGAAGCACTTCTGTGGCAAGTTGATATAAAGACAAAGATAAATAAAAAAACATAGCACCAAAAGAATACAATAAGTTCCACATATGTTAAGAAATATCTGACTTGATATATAATCACAAGTTGGTAAGACTGGCCACTCCACATTTGGTGGAGTGAGAATATCATTGAGAGTAATCAGTAAGGATATGCTTAAAGAGACATCATCAATTTGAAGAGATGAGAAAACTTGAATGCAAAGAAATCAGTCTGTTCACATTTATTTTACAGCCTGTGTAAGGGATTAGAGGTAGGAGAAGAAAACTCTCTCCAAGTGACAGAGAACCATTTTGTCTCAGTGAATCAACCATGCCTCTCATGGGAGTCAAGATGATTTGCATGTTTGGTGATTGATGTAGATAGAGGTAGTAAATCACATCATTTTAGCTGAAGAGCTCTCCTATCTCAGCCACACGAAAAAAAAAAAAGAACATTTGTACTATATACCCCAAATATTCACATTGCTCAAATGTATTATAATTTCAAGGATGATCTGAAAATGCCCAACGGTCAACTCTGATGAACTTGGAACACACAGAACTTCACCACTAGGGATCATTTACCATTACATGTCAGTAGATTAAAGGCTTCAGGTATTTTCAACTTTGGAAATTTTTAATAGGCTTATCAACAAACTGCATTTTTTCCTAAAATGTGTTGCCATAACTAAGGGAGAAAACAAACAACCATCACAACAACAAACTTGTTACCCAAGAGACTGAAATACAGATTCAAAGTGTTGGTGATTTTTTTTTTTACTATGTTTTCAGAAACAATTATTTTTTCTTTTTGCTTTAGGAGTGCTGATTTTGCTATTGGATTAAGTCTAAGGTTAAAAGTGAGGGTGAGAATAGCAAAACATATTCTGTATGGAGAGTAATTCTATTATCATTGCTGGACCATTCTTGTAGCTAAGAGGTATATTCTTTCAAGAAGAAAAATGTGCTCTATACAAACAACAACTGAATATTTTATTTGGGGGCACAAAATGCAATGACGACACAATTAGATCTAGTAACTAGCAATTACAGATACCCAGCATAAAATAGGGCAAAAAGGAAAATGCTAATACATGGTTACATGAGGAAGTGTCTTGAATAATGGCTAACTCATATTGCTGCAATATTTAGAATATCTAAAGATGGAAACAGGCTCTATAAATGAGGAGAATGAAGAGCTACCTAAACATGGCTGGTGTCTCTGTATTCTTTGAAGATTTTACCTCCTTTTATCATCAGATTCTATAGTACATGACTCTTGTCATAATGTCTGGTACTTTAAATACTGATTGAAAATTTTCTCACCATCTGGGCCTAGTAACTCACTGAACTCCTTGACTCCAGAGATCTTGTCCTCCACTCTGCCTTGGCCACTTGGTATGTGGTTAGCCCTTAGATTTTCTCATAAGCTCAGCTTTAAGCTCACAGGTTCTGACCTCTACCTCCTAAGTCTCCAGTAGACTCCATATAGTACTCCTATTCCAACAATTCTTTGATATTTACAAGCTCTTCAATCCATTCATTCTATTGTACCAGCTTTTAAATATCTCTTATGTGCTTCATGTCCTCACTTTTCATTTTATCAAGCATAAACTTCATGGTGTATAATAAACACTTTCTTGGATGTATCCTCAAATCCCTTCGTACCCTCTCAATTCTGGTGCTCATTTGATAAATATTGAACTCCAGCAAACACCAACTTTTCACTCATGCTGCTGAAAAATCTGGAGGAAAACACTCAAGCATTATATCTAGTCTCATTTTGAATTCATGATCATCAACTTCAAGCTGGCTCTTAGTGTGACTTAGCAATACTATTCAATCTCAAATTTACCTATTTACTGGGAAACTTTCAGAAAGATTCTAAGTCGTCTTGGTTACAGTCTGGGCATCGGAATTTTAAAATGTTCTTTCAGGTAATTCTAATGTGCAGCAAAGATTGGGAAACGCCAGCCTAGGTGATGATTTTATTCTCTTCTCTTTCCTCTACCCTCCAATATCTGCTTCCCCATTTTCAGTCAACAATCTTGTTTCTCGTTTATCTGAGAAAATTGAAGCAATCAGTACAAAATTGCTCCCTCGACTCCTGTCACCACATCTGCCCACATGCCTGCATTGGTGCCCAAAACTGTGGATCCAACTCTCTGTTCTGATTACAGACACACCTTGTGTGCTCTAGATTCTATTTCCTCTCGCCTACTCAAGGACATGGATCTAGCAAATAGCTCCACTCTCCTCTGTACCCCCAATTCCTCCCTCTCTTCTGGATCATTCCCAGGAGTATTCTGTGCTGTTATTTTTCCATCTCAAAAACATCCTCTTGACCCCATTTCCCTCCTACAGTTACAGCTTCATTTCTCTGTTCTCCTTAAATGTGAAACTTGTTAAATTTTTTCAGCATTTGCTATTACTTCCAATTCTTTTCAATTCTTTCTTTACATAAATCTCTTGCAATTATGCTTTCACTCCAAACACACTCTGAGACTGCTCTTCTCAAGGTCATTAAAGGCTACCAGGTTTTTAAATCTAGTTGTCAATTCTAATGCTTCATCTTCTTTGACAAATCAGCAGCATTTGGTACAATCAGCTACGCTTTCCTCCTAGAAACAGATTATTTACTGGTCTTTTTGAACAAGTTGTGGTCTGAACTACACTATGGACCACATATAGTCTGTTGTATCTTTCTGTAAATAAAGTTGTATTGGAGCACAAGCATGCTCATTTGTTTGCCTGATAGCTCTGTCTACTTTTCCACTAAAAGAGCAAAACTGTATACTTGCAACAGAAACCTCTGGCCTGCAAAGCCTGAAATATATACTATCTGGTCCTTTACAGAAGTGTGTCAGGGATCCCTAATTCCTTCCTGATTTCTCTCTCTGACTTCTTTTGACCTCACTATTCACTCTTTTTTTTTTTTTTTGGAGAGGTTTTTACTATAGGTTGTGTGCTCGCCCAAAAGACAGAGAGAGACAGAGTGACAGAAAGCAAGAAATCACCCCACGGAGGGATGGCCATGTTGCAATACCTTCTCCTCCATTCTCCTCTCAGGACACACGCCCAGCATGAGTTTTAAGCCACCGGGTCTGGGACTCGAACCACAGTCAACCACCTGGGAGTCCAGTGACATAGCCATTACCCTAACTGCTGGTCCCACTATTCACTCTTTTAGGGCCTTTGACAAGTTCCTTCTTAACACCGAGGCCTTTTAATGTAAAGATGTCCCAGTATTCAGTTTCTGGACCTCTTCTCTTCCATGTTTATATTCATTTCTCCAGTAATCTAATCCAGCCCCATACCTTTAAATATCATCCTACCTGGGATGTTCCCTTGAACTCCAGATTGAATGATCATCTGCCTACCTGAAAGCTCCATTTTGATGTCTACACATTTCAAAATTAATATATACAAAACTGAATTCCTAACCTTCTCTCATACCTGCTCCCATCACAGTAAATGACAACTCCATCCTCTAAAATGTTCAAGTCCAAAATTCTGGATGTTATAAGAGAGAGAGAGAGAAAGAGAGAGACTTTCTTTTCTTTTACACCACACAGAATACCTCTCAGCAAATTGTGACATTTCTATCTTCAATATATGTTCACAATCCAACCACTTCTCTTGATCTCTGCTGCTACCACTGCAGACCAAGTTATTATCATTCCTAGCCTAAAGTATTACAATGTATTCATGACTGGTCTCCCAGTTATTTCAGTCATCTTTCTCCTAAGCTTTCCATACCAATCTCTCCTCAATTTATTACCAATATAGAAGCCAGGGCAACCCTTTAAAAATATTAAGTTGGATGACATTATGCATTTTTCAAGGCCTTCCAATCACCTTCCACTTTACTAATATTACCTAATGCTAATTTATAAGATGTTATGTGATTTCTCTGACCTTTTCTATTCTTTTTCCATCAT